CAGGCTTTGACTAAGCTGGATGGGAAAAAGTCAGGACAGCATAGTTTGAAAATGTTTAAATATTTAAGCTAAGAACAATTAGGCGGAAGATGTTGGCTAATTCTGATGACATTCTTGGCAAGGGATGTTTTTCATCTCATTGCTTTGTTCTCAACGCGCCCTCCTTGCATGGGGAAAAGCAGCTTGGTAGAAGGGCAGTTTTGGAGGATCATGGTTGGCATTAGACACACTTTTTTCCTCTTGCCTACCATCTGATCCAAAACTCTGTCATCCAATAGTTTTACATTTATTTTACATTTAAAAAGTTAGTTAAATGTGCATTTCATTTAAAGTATATTTTGTCTTGAATTCATCCTGGATTGCAAAAATGAACGAACAAATTGAAAGATAACTCCGGGTTATAAAATGCTTAGCTGACCCAAACAACAGCTTGAATCTGGAAGGGAGATGGTCTTTTAACTTGATAGATAACACTCTGAATGGCATTGTGGGGAAAAGGTACAATAATATGTACAAAAATGGAAGAGGTCCAAAACAGCAATCGCCCAGGAATCACAGGGGCTCCAGCTTCTTCTTTAGGGCCTACAGCAGTGTTTTTCAACCTTGACAATTTTAAGGCATGTGGGCTTCAACTCCCAGAATTCCACAGCCAGCAATGCTGGCTGTGGAATTCTGGGAGTTGAAGTCCACATGCCTTAAAATTGTCAAGGCTGAGACAACACTGGCCTACAGTATCCCCAATATCATGTTGCTGAAATTTGGCAACATGTTGAGAATAGTTAGATGTTTCTTTTTTTAACAAAATCCCTGTTTTGTATTTAAAACTTTGTCAATACTCCTTTAAAAAAGGACCGATCAAATCCAGTGTTTGTCAGTTCATCACTACTACAACCTTTGTGGCCTTTGGATAACAAAAAAAAAAGCAAAATAAAACCCCAAACCAAGCAATTCTCTCACTGTGTGCTTGCCACCTATAAAATAATTTCCTACATCGATCTTCTCTCTGCTGGACCAGATTAAAATTTCCATCATCTTGTCATTGACAGTAGTTTACCTAGAAATGCATTAGTTGAGTTCAATTGTTGCTCTAAGCTGTGACTTTTTACAAAAGTCATGGTTAGTTAAAGAACTACAATAGCCTAGTTCATACATCACATAATGCTACAGTGGATGGATTTACATAGCTCAATACAAAAACACACAAGTGAGACCAGTTCTTCTGGTTGACAACTTTTTCTTCTGAGAATCAGTTTCACTGTTATCAGTCCAGCTTGCACAAGGATGAGCCCTTTCTTGGCTAACTGAATGTGTAAATCTATTACACAGCTGTGATGTGGAGTTCTGTAAACATAGCCACTTCATCCAGCAGAGGAAAGGAAGGTCATACATTAACGTCATATACATTGACTCAACATTATTTGTTATTTTATATTTGTGGCCTTCTAATAAAAATCATATTAAAAATTCTGGTTGCTGTGCGGTTTGGGGATATTTTGGTATCATTTGGCTTTATCATGTCATACAATAAAACATAAACAGTAAAGCTACAATGCTTGTTGCATATTTATTTGTACGAAGGTCCCATTAAACTCACTGAGAATCATCTAAAATTCATTTTAAGAGTCATTAAAATGCTTTGTTTTTCATAGGATTTTGGGACGGTTTGCTTCTTGACAGCATTTTAAGCATCTAAAACAAACCAGAAAGTTGGACCTGGGTTCTGTGGCTAGATGTTTGTGTCTCTGTGTATGCTTTCATTGGAAAGGCCAGGCAGTAAAACTGGGATCTCTTGCATATGAAATAGGTGTTTTATACTGAATGATGGGTATCTGCCTCAGTTATTCCACCTCCTTGTTTGCCTTGGCAACATTACACACAATTTGTCTCTTCTATTCCCATTTTATAGTGATTTTTTAAAACTGCAGGCCACTTTAGCTGACTGTGTTCAGCAGGTCAGCGGTTCAAATCTCACCGGCTCAAGGTTGACTCAGCCTTCCATCCTTCCGGGGTAGGTAAAATGAGGACCCAGATTGTTGGGGGCAATGTAAATATATATATACATTGCTTACTGGTGTACACCGCCTAGAGAGTGCTCGCACTTAAAGCGGTATATAAGTCTCATAAATAAATAAATAAATAAATAAATAACCTTTAAGTCAAATGAAACTTTAGATCAGTCCTTCTTGCTAACCTAATGCTGTTCAGAAGTCTGGTAATTCCTTCCATCATCACTAGCCAACATGGGCAATCACTATAGTGACAAAGAGGTAGAGAGATTCTTTTGAGTTATGCTCAACTTCTGGTAATTTCATTGATATGTATTTTTTTAGCAACTATACAATAGGATTTACTCTTTCTTCTGAGAGGTTTTAGCTTCTCAGTTAGTCTACAGCTCTGTTGCTTCTTGTAGTCTCTCATCTAAGTGCTAATTCGGGGGTCTTCAAACTTGGCCCTTTTATGACTTGTGGACTTCAACTCCCAGAATTCCTCAGCCAGCGTACCTGGCTGAAGAATTCTGAGAGTTGAAGTCCACAAGTCATAAAAGGGCCAAGTTTGAAGACCCCTGTGCTAATTGGTCTTTGCTATTTGGATTTTTAAGGTCAGTGAAGATTAGGCAGGTGTTATTTCCTGCTGGTTGAAAATTGTAATCCAATGTTTGTGGAAGTCACTGAGTAGGGAAAGAAAAATTGCCTGAGCCATTATCATTACCACTTACTAAGCATTATTTTGTTTATCATGTTGAACACTCCTTGCAAGAAATATTGCATATACTGAACAAAGTGGTTTTCCCCACTTTGTAGGTGAGAATTGGAGGATGTGACAGTCGCAGGGTGTTTTGTTTTTGTAAGACAAAGGTACCTGGTAGCTGAAAACTAAGGTCTAACTGCACACCAAGCCAAGTTTGCTGATCTACATTCTAGAAATTAGCTTTTTTTCTACTAACTGCAAATTTAGAAGGAATAGGTACAAGGTATTTCTGCATTTCAAGTGCTGCTGCTGCCTCTTCAGAATTAAAATCGTGTTCACCTGAAGAGGAGTTTGGAGATAGTGTTGAATATGCAACAATTGTTGTGAAAACATGAAATTAGCTGATGAAAATAGGACTGTATGAGAAAGAAATTAGAGAGTGCTCTGCTTTGGCTCTCTTTGGTATAAGAGGGAGGGAAGAAGAAATGCTGTCAGATTTTATATCAATATCATGTCAGTATTTCTTGTAGTGTTTGTTTCCTGACTTGATCTAACTTGAAGAGTTGTTATTGTCTCCAGGAGGCTCTGCTATGATGGGTCACTAACATCAAAATGGTAATCGCACCTGGGCAATCAAAGACAAATCCCATTACTGCATCTTTTCAACCTGCATGCCTCTTTTCAATACATATTGCTTGAACACAAAAAGGTGCAGGGCTTCAATCATCCACTCCCATCCACAATTTTGAAGCCAGTGATGCAAATGTCCTTGCATTTGCACACATTGTGCCACAAACTAGTCACCACATTTTAACCAGGCTTATGATTCAGCATGCCACGTATACCCAGAAAATTGAGTTAATTGCTGAAAGCATTATTCCCTTAACCATGGGTAACTGTGTCATGCTAACATAGCCTAAGATCATTTACTATACATTTAGTTCATTGACAGGAGCACCCATTCAACCTCCTCTTCCCTTTGTGTTGTTCCATCAGAATCTGCATGTCCCAAGTTACGTCTCTAACATCCACTTCTTACATTTCATTTCAGGTTTGGTTCTGCATATCTTGGCTACCCAAGAACCTTGTAAAATGCCCTATTATGAGCAGGTTGTTTAGCCCCAAAATATGTAATTTAGCCTTCTTTTGTTGTGGGTGTGTTGATGACAGCTTTCATCATCCCATATACTCTGACCATGGGGATTCCAATCATACCTAGTCAGGATGATCACTAGATATGTTGATAAAGGGATGACTGTCATTGATGTCCAGCACATTCGAAAGAGGATATCACTAGATAAGTAAAGGCTCTCTTGGGACCCAGATATTGGTTGGGTTGAATTGATATAGCCCTTGCTTGCTCTTGGACAGATTCAAACCTCTTCTCCATCATCTGCCTGCTTGTTTAAGCAGGCTGGTTATATGGAGGGGTGACTGTCTCCTTAAAAATGTTCTATTGGAAAGCTATGGTCGCTCCTACAGGGTGTTCAACTACTGGTGATTTAAAAAAGATGGAGTCTCCCTTGAGTTGGCCTTGGTAAATACGTGGACCTATCTGTATAAATTTTTTGGGCAACAGTGGAAGAATTATTTCTCATTACTGCATCTTTTCAACTTGCATGCCAAACAATGACCTCAATATTTTCTTGTGGTCTATCAAAATTGGATCTGGTTTAGTGTTCCTCAAGGTAGTCAAATTGGTCAGGCAGCAGTACTAGGCTGCACTTCCCTTGACTCAGAAATTAATTAGTATTGGGCACCTTATTTCTTGAATGGGAGACCATCAGCAGTAGTCTTCACTGGGAAGTTGAAAATTTTTCCCAGAGGAGACAACGGTACACCACTTCTGCAATGCTGATTCAGTTTAGCTTCTGTATTTCTTTCAGAGTTCTCAGACAATATATGCTCATGTGAATGAGCAGTAGCTGGCTGAGGACTTCAGGCTCCTTATATCACCTAGCACAAGGAGAGTACCAAATGATTAACTAGACAGATGTGATTGACTTAATATATCCCAAAATGTTTATTTTTCTTTCCTTTTTTCATTATGTGAAGCCAAAACAAGAAACCAAGTAAGTCTGTATGTACATCTCCTTTTCCTCGACCCAGCATTTTTCAGCTGTGCTGGACTACAGATCCAATCATCCTTGCCAGGATGGTTAAAATGGATGTAGCCCAGGGTACCCGAAGGGCGCCAGGTAGGGAAAAGCTGCTTTACCCTTTTTCCAGCTGCTTTTCGGCACAACTTATTCCAGCCACGGACCAGGCAGCCGCTTCAGCTCCAGTTTTGCTCGGACTGCGCTGGGACTCACCGTAAAAGGCAGAGAGCAGACGGCGAAGATGATGGTCATAATGAACAGCAGGATGAGGTGATCCAGCTCCTCGGACATGGAGAAGGGTCTTCGGGCGCCCTGCGCGTACTCTCCGCCAGATTCCGCCTGGCGGCCCGCGCGCAGCGGAGCTCCCAGCGCTGGACAACGGCAAGAGGTGGGCAGGCAAGTGTGCGCGCGCCTCAGGTACATGCGGCAGAGGCTGACCATGACTACCAGGTTGCCCAGCAGGACGGCCAGGATAAGCAGCAACAGCACCGAAGCATAGAGCAGCGCAAAGGCATCGGCTCTGCCAGCCCGGCGCATCTCGATGAAACACCACGTGCCCGGCCAGTATTCCATGTAGCTACCGAAGCCCATCAGCGGCAGGGCGCAGAAGGCGGCGACCAGGCCGTAGAGGGCGAGCAGGGCTCCCAGCAGCAGCGCCAAAGGCCGCCCGCTCAGCAACCGCTCGTATAGGTACGGCGCGGCCATGGCCAGGCTGCGCTCCAGCGCCATGGCGCCCAGGCAGCTCATGGTGGCCAGGCTGAAGAAACTCATGGAGAAGGCGAAGTAGTCGCAGACGCGCCTGTCCAGGGCGTTCAGCGTCTGTTGTCGCCCGTAGGCCGCCAGCACCACCGGGCTGAGCAGGCAAGTGCCCAGCAGGTCGGTCAGCACCAGCGCCATCAGCAGCACGTGGAAAGGCGCCAGACGCTCTCGCCGCGCCAGCCGACGGCGTCGCGCCAGGAGCAGCAGCACCAGCGCCGTCAGGTTGCCGAGCACGCCCGCGGTGAACATGACCGCCGAGATGGCCGGGCCGTCACCCAAGGGCGACGGAGACGACGCCTTCGGTCTCTTGTTGCCTAAGAGCGCGGTCGGCCGCGTGCTTCCTCGGCCCGCCTCGTCCATCATCGCGATGAACTGGCGGAGCGGGGCTCCTCAGTGGAAAAGGAAAGGAGCTCGGCGGGCAGCCGACGATTAAGCACCACCTCCTGCCGCCCCCCCAACCGACCCGCCCCCTCCCCCCAATATCGCTGCCAGACTCCGGACGAGCCGGGGTTGCCCTTGCGGCTTCCTCGCGAGCCGCAGCTCTCCCGAAGGCCTCGGGCGGGGAGGGGACAGATTCCGAGCGCGGAGAGGGCGGCGTCGGCTCTCACTTCTACTTCGAAATGAAGGAACTTTTTCACGTTCTCTTCTTCAGAATGAAACTTTGGAAGTGGAACCATTCCACACCTTACAACAAAACTGATTTTGCCCCTTAAAATATCCCCTCCGCCGCACTGGTGGCACAGCTGCATAGAAACGCAAGTTTGAATTCGTTCGTCTTTTTCCATTATAGGGATTGGATTTCTCTGGCACTGTGTGAACCAAGAAGAGTTGTCTCCGCTGTTTCTTTTCCAATCCTCATTCTGAGATGCCCTTTGCACAGGATCACCAGGAATGTAGCAAATAAATTTGTAAATGTAATCCAGACCAGAGTACCCCTGTGAGTGTCTAGAAAGCTGCACCCCTATGACCTGTAGAACCTGGGCCTACAAGTGAACAGAATTTTCAGAGAAGCCTGCATATCACAGGTCAGGTAGGATAGATTGAATTGACTAACCAGAGGCAGCTGCAGAATACTGCATGTTCAAAAAAGTCAAGATGGCAGCTGCAACAATGAAATCAAAATGCCTTACACATAGAATAGGCAGAGCTTCAGTGGCTTGGTCATGGATGGCCTGTTGATTTTTTTTTTTTTTTTACTGTATCTTGTGACACCCCTGTGACCAAATATGACTCCTGGGCCCTAGGTTGGCACTGGTACTAGGGGCATGAGGAGGAGAACATCCCAGTCTTCCTCCCTCTCTGTTTTCTTGCACTCTCCGCACGTATTTGGGGAAGGAGAATTAATGCGTGGTTATTATTCTTCTGTCAAAGATGAATGCAAGACAAAATATCTCATTCTTTTCCCCCTGCTGAAACTGCTGGTTGCTGATTCTTTGTTGTATATATAACATTTTTTTTCCTGAAACAGCTACTGTGCTGCTTGAGTTATGCTAAGAGGCCTTATTGCTCCTATGGACTGTGTGGTTCTTGACAGTGAACAGCAGGTCCTGGCAATGACATTCAATGGCGAGTAATTACTAGAACTGAGACTGTAACTTTGGGGTGGGGAGTGCCTCCAGACAGTGTTGTCTCCTGGTGAAACCAATGAACAGCAGACAAACAAGACAACAGATCATCCTGTCATCCCTTGTTTTATTTGCACTTACAAGGCTGACTTCAGCTCCCTTACTGCCCGTTACTTACTCCTGCAGAGTCAGATGGCAGGAACCTCCTTGCAACTTGACTTGCCATTTAGAGTTGCAACTGACTCAGATTTGTACCTCCTGAAACTCTCCACTACATTAATCCTAATCAGAAATCTCCAAATAAGTTTGAAATTAGAGAGGAGAAAAGGCCAAAGACAAAGACGGTGAATCTACAAAAATGGCAGGGGCATACCAAATGTGGCAAATTTTCCTAGCTCTTGATTTTCCAATCCTGCCAACTATGCTGGGCAGTGGTGGGGAAAATGTTCACTTGCGTAAGGAATCAAAGTGTTTGGAGATAGATACATCGGCAGGCATCACTGTGGTGATTGCTGGGCTCTTCACTAAAGAAACACAGGAAAGCCACAAAAACCATTGGCTCTAGGCATTGAACAATCACCCAGTTGAAACTATTAGCTTCCTAACCCAGTGATGGCAAACCTTTTAGAGACCGAGTGCCCAAACTGCAACCCAAAACCCACTTATGTATCACCGGGTGCCGGGTGGGTGTGGCCCACTTGGGTGCAGCTACAGTGGGCTTGGCAGACTGGGTGGGTGTAGCCACTGGATGGGTGTGGCTGCAGTAATCATGGCCGGGGTGGGCGTGGCCACCTTGATGTTGCTTATGGGGAGGGACACCTGTGGGAGCTGGGCAGGGTTGGGGGAGATCCAGGGGGTCTCTGGCGGGTGGGTTGGTGGGCTCCCCAATGGCAGCTCCAGGCTGGCTGGCCTTAGGCCAGTGATGGTGAACTTTTAGAGACCACGTGTGCTGGGGCGATGGCATGTGCCCACAGAGAGGGCTCCGCGTGCCTTGCTTTCTCAGGGAGAGTGATTCTCAGGAAAAATGAGTGAAAAATGCCAAAGTATATTCCAAGATTATATAATCCCAGCAGCGCCATCCATGGCGTGAAGGTCATTCTAGCTGCCTAATATATAGGAAGATGCTAGAGATGGAAAAATCTCTTTAGTGACAAAAGGAAAGTCCATAATTTAAGAGAAGGTAATGGTAAACCACTTTGTATTTTACAGTACCAAGAAAATCACACATCAAGTAGGATCTACAAAAACCCAAATCCAGGAATAGGACTACATACTGTACATACATACTTACTTTGCTCATACCATTTTCCTGATTATTCCGCTCCCCAGGTAATTAAATAAGTAAATCAATTAATCAATACATGATTTGTCTAATGATTTGACCTTTGCTTTCAAGAACTGCGCCACATTAACATACAGAATGGTTCAGAAATTTAGAGGATGTTAATTTTCCACTAGAAAGCTGATTATATGGAAAGGGTAGATCATCCAGAGTGCTTGGGGCCTCTGTAAAAGTCACAGGATATCTGAGAGTTTATTGAATGCATTACTTCCTTGCCGGCTGAGTCATTGCTCAGTGTCATGCCATTTAAGGATAAGTAATCTCATTTTAAGTTTTGGAAAGTTAAATTATATCCAGGGAAAAGCCCTGAGCAAAATATACTAGGAAATGGTTGTGGCCCACTCCACAGCTAGGTTTTCCAGATTCACAGTTTGCTTTTGGCAGTGAGGACTCTGCTACTGAAATTGACTAATTCATGAACTGGAGTTGGGGTGAATGAGTTGATCAAGATGCTGGAGTTTATACTGTTATTCAGGGCAGTACATTCCCATAACAAATAGTGAACAAATTCCTGAGTTTGAATAATGCTAGGAAACCATGGCTCTGTTCACATAACAAATTAACCCGTAATTTACTGAATTAACTCGCCTATGTTGGCTTGATGCACTGATTCATGAATTAGCCAACATTTTTTTTATTAAATGAGCTGTACAAATTCATCTAGACATTGCAGATAAAATGCCAAACTAAGACAGAATGATACATAAGGAAAACATACTTATCTTATATTTGGAGTACAAACTTGTCAGTGCCATTAGTCTCTACAGCAAAGATTATCATATTTGAGAAAAGATTGGACAACCATTTATCTGGAATGGAATAAAGACTCCTGCCCTAGAGCTAGGCAGAGTGTTGGACTAGAACAGGGGTTGGCAACCTTGGCTCTTTTATGACTTGTGGACTTCAACTCCCAGAATTCCTGAGCCAGCCATGAAATCCACGAGTCATAAAAGAGCCAAGGTTGCCTACCCCTGGACTAGAAGACCTCCAAGGTCCCTTCTAGCCCTATGATTCTATGAAAATCTATGATGTTTTTCCAGGCTGGCCTTTCAGGATTCCAAGCACGTACCTCTGCTGCCACCTATAAAGAGATTGTGACAAGTGACAGATAATCTAGCCTGCCATATCAAGATGAGATCCAGTTGCAATCCTGATTGCACAATTAAGCCTGCGCTTAACTGTATCAACTCTTATCTGCTTTGTGCTCATCAGTGGCAAAGGAAAACACACAGTGAAAGAGATTTACTGTATTCAAAGGGAAAGCAACTGTCTGACAGGAATACTGGTAAATAGTAATCTGGATAAGCAATCTACCTTCCTTTCCCCTTTCTGGAAAACGTGTTTTTTTTAAAAAAATATAATGGATGCATGAAAATCCCTTCATAAAACCTTCCCATTCAACCATAGCTCTGGCTGAATATAATATGAGGAGAGCAAGTCTATAGAAACTCTATAATCTGCAGATAGCAGGGCTGTGCTATGTGCTCCAAATTTATCGGTTCTGCCTACTTGCAGAGAGCTATTACCTGAGCCACTGCTTCCCTTTCCTAGATTGACAGTTGATTTCTGAAGTACAGGCATATGACTGTCAATACTGAAACATGACAGAAACATGTTCTTCCTGACACACAGTTCTCATGCAGATATCCCTTTTGAACACTTGTTAGGTGATGGCCCTTAACTTACTATTCCCTGGACCAACTGCCTACAAAGCACGTGTTTGGCTGACGGGAGCTCTGCCTACAAGCGTGCTTTTGAAAAAAGCTTCTGGATGTGCCAAAACCCAGCCTCTGGGTGATTGCCCAGATAAGCAGGAACGTAAATGCCCGTTTGCTTTGTCATTCTTGTTTATCTGTTTTGCTGTTGGTGATTTTCTTCTTCCTCTTACTTTCGGTTGAGCGCATTGAGAATTTTGAAACAAGCAAGCAAGCATAAATGTAACAACATTCCATAAAGCACCACAAGAAATTAATGTCTGGTGCCAATTGAATAATAAACACTGATTGTTTGCTCTGACTGACAGCCTTTGGAAAACAAGACAAGCTCCTTCCAGGAATGTAAAAGTTAGCTCAATGATATTATAGATCAATGTTTCTCAACCTTGGCAATTTTAAGATGGTAGACTTCAGCTCTCAGAATTTCCCAGCTTGCTGGTTGGGGAATTCTGGGAGATGAAATCCGCACATCATAAAGTTGCCAAGGTTGAGAGTTACTGATATAGACTAATTATTGAGCTGCACAATGCTCTGGAAACTACAGATAAAACAGCAAAAAGAAGTCCATCATACTTTCCCACAGCAATGAGCTGAATAATGGCCAATAAACTGAGAATGAATTTTGATTAGATGGAGTTGATGAGTAATTTTGGAGTCTTGAGATTGGGGATCTAATTGAAAGCTTCAGGCAAGATCAGAGACCCCCACCCCTCAAATGGTGAATGTATAGAATGGTGTGTGGGTGCCTCTGAGTCAGTTTTTGACTCCTAGAAGCTGCCTTCGATTAGGCTCTGCAGTTTTGTTGGCAAAGTTTTCCAGAAGTGATTTGCCACTGTCTGCTTCCCAAGTCTGAGAAAGTGACTGTCCCAAGGTCACCCAGATTGGAATGGGACAACTCGCCATGGCCAACTTGCCACGGCCAACTCACCATAGGATAGCTCACATTGGGACAACTTGCCATAGGACAACTAATTATGGGACAATTTGACAATTCAATTTAATTATTTAAAATAAATAAATAATATTTTACTTTTTGTTATTCACGTTTCATTCTGCCCCTCCTTTTGCACCCTTTCTTTAATGATTCTATTCCACCATTTCTTTGATATTAATTTAACTCAGGAGTCTTCAAACATGGCCTTGTGTGACTTGTGGATTTCAGCTCCCAGAATTCCTCAGCAGCATGCTGAGCTGAAGTCCACAAGTCATAAAAGGGCCAAGTTTGAAGACCTCTGGTTTAACTCTTTCCCACAGTGAGTTGTATTATGGCATGTTGGCCATGGCGAGTTGTCCTGCAGTGAGTTGGCTGCAGGAAGTTGGCTGTTGCAAGTTGGCCTCGGTGAGTTGGCTGTGGTGAATTGCCATAGACCCCACCCAGATGGCTTTGTACTTAAGGTGGGACTAGAACATCTGCTCTCTCTGATGCCTTAATCACTACATCAAACCGACTGTGTAGAGCCAGTTAATAAAAGTAGAAAGTCTCAATCTGGATTTGTCATCAGAAGAAAAACTGATTCTGGTTTCAAGACACTTTCAGTTCTGGCTGGCTTAGCCTAGTGATCACTTTACATTAGAATACTGTATGGTCCTCTGCTCCACTATACACTCATCTTCCTGCAGAACCACATCTCAAATATAATCAAATGGAAGTACTCTATACCCCCTTACATTTCTTGGAACAACTCTCTTGGTCTGATTCTACCCATTTTTGAGATCTTTGGAAAGGGAAGTCATGGGATCATATTGTGGCATTGAAAATAGCTGATGCTAAAAATAAGTCCTCTCAGCAAGGGCATCTTCAGTTACGGGGCTTTCCCTGCCTTTCTAGGGGCATCAAAACTGCACTTTGGCCTACTTGCAAGATGCTCTGCTTTACCCAGACATAGGGGTTTGCTTAACAAACTTTTGGTGCACATCCTTCTATGCTTTTTATTACACTTGCACTTAAAATATTTCTTAGCTCAGTTCTGTAAACTACAGTAGTATCCACAGAACCCAACACTTTGTCAAAATGACAAAAGCAGCCCTGTGCTATCACAATAGAATATCTGCCCTTTTTGGACATGGGTGTCACTTCCTAATGTAAGGTGGATCTTACTGGTTCGTTGCAAAGATGCCACACAGCTTTTTTCATCTGCCTCCCTGCAGGGAACTGCCCTTACAAAAGGCAACACAGATAGTCCTTGCTTAATGATCACAGTTGGGACCAGCACACCATCACTAAACAAAAATCATGTGATTTCATTGGATATTAAACCTCAATTCCACCAAGATCACTAAGAGAATCACCCATGGTTGTTAAATGAGACATCACATACTTGTGAATTGTGATTTTACTGCAACCTATCCATTGACTCTGCTTGTCAGAAGCCAGCTATGAAGTGTGCAAATAGCAATCACATGACTGCAAGACACTGCAATGATTGTAAACACACCTGGTTGAAAAGTGCCTGAATCTTGCGTGGTGGCGCAATGGTTAGAATGAAGTATTGTAGGCAAACTCTGCCCATAGCCAGGAATTCGATCCTGACCGGTTCAGGATTGACTCAGCCTTTCATCCTTCCAAGATCAGTATAATGAGGAGCCATATTGTTGGGGGCAATATACTGACTTTGTAA